TTTTAACCTGCATGTCAGTATAACAATTGATAGCTTAAAACTAAATAACTAAAACTAAATCTTATCTAAGTATAAAGGGAATTAATCGTTGCAATTGAGGATTGTAACGATTTTTGCCGGAAATTATTAATTATTTTGTTGGACATTTGTGCTAAAGTCTCAACATTCGAAATTCTATGTACTTCGGTAGTACTGTACCAGGGAGGCAACTTCAAAATCATCTTCAGAATTTTGTTCTGAATCCTTTGAAGTGCTTTTTTCCTGGTAGTGCAACAACTAGACCATATTGGCACAGCGTAAAGCATGGCCGGTCTAAAAACTTGTTTAAATATTAGAAGTTTATTCGTCAGGCAAAGTTTGGATTTCCTGTTTATAAGAGGATACAAACATTTTATATATTTGTTACATTTGGCTTGAATGCCCTCAATGTGATCTTTAAAAGTTAATTTTTGGTCAAGAACTAATCCAAGATATTTCACTTGGTTTGACCAGGAAATTGGAACTCCGTTCATAGTGACTATGTGACTACTACTAGGTTTCAAAAACGAAGCTCTAGGCTTATGTGGAAATATTATAAGTTGAGTTTTGGAAGCGTTGGGAGAAATCTTCCATTTTTGTAAATAAGAAGAGAAAATATCTAAACTTTTCTGAAGTCTGCTGCAAATAACACGAAGACTTCTTCCTTTAGCGGAAATGCCTGTGTCATCAGCGAACAAAGATTTGTGGCAACCCTGAGGCAAATCAGGGAGGTCCGTATCCATTCCATATTTCTTATCTATTATACTCACTCATTTTCGGGTTTTTGTTTTTGCTTTACCTTATTTTTAATTATACTTGGCCGTTGTTGAATACTGCTGCTGTCTGTTTACACCATTTCTTCTCCATTTCCTTTTTTTTTCCTTTTAGAGACCGATCATGGTTTTATACTGCTCCAGCATCATGATCAGCTCTCTGTGGTGAAAATCCAGAGTCAGCATCTCTCCCGGTGATCCTATATCTTGGACAGCTACCGTCGCGACCCGGAACACAGCGTCGATTGTCTCCTTTTTCGCGAGGACTTCCTCCTCACTCACTTGTCTTCTTTTTGCGATTAATCGTCTCCAGTGTTGCACTTCACGAGAAAAGAAATCTAAACACTACTTTAATTTTTCTTTTGGTAATGTTTGTTTCGATGCCATGTCTTTTTCCAAACTGTTTATTAGTTCTCGTTTTGCAATTTATTGTTCACGTCACTTTATCAATTTGACGACGGGCTCCAACACAGTTCTGGATCAGGAACCAATTTTGCAACTTTTGTTTTTTGAATGGTTGCAACTCCGATTTTAATTACTTCGGTTCACTCAGTCTTCTTCTTTTTTTTATGCTGGCAAATTTGCCAACCGGACGGTGCGTTCCGCCACGCACTTTGTCTGTTGACGGTGGCATTTCATCACACTTTTCACTAAAAGGTAGCCCACGGCTACACCTGCGATAACGCACAATGCCACTGTTTGGGCCGTGTGGTGTCCTTCCGTGCTGGACACCACGGCTGGGGCGACGATCTCATCGGCGCTGAACCAACGCATTTCGCCGGTAATTAATTACACGCGAGAATGTACACTCTGTGAATCAGTCGGCGAAAATTTCCACTCACTCGCGGTTTTTCGATTGTAGTTCATTAATTCTGGGTTTGTAGGTTTACACTTGTCACTGGCAATGGATCGCCATGCTTTGGTTCCATTTTAGTTTCTAAGAAAACCTCCTGGTAGACCTTAATACGAAGCACGGACTGTGATAGAATTAAAGCAACCTTCTTGGTTGGGATCCCACTTCAATCTACTTTATTAATTTTATTCATTCTTAACGCTATGTGTGGGGTGTCACACAAAGTTTCCGCCGAGTGGATGCGCCCACTGTGTACGCCTATGCGCGGCATGAAGTGGGCGCATCCACCACAGCCTTGCCGTCGTCGACCGGCTCCGTCAGAAGAAACCGCATAAACCGCTATCCCAGCTAAAACCAACCCCCACCACAGCCGACATACGGTAGACGCGCTAGTCCTACCGCCACCTCGCTGTGGTCACCGATAGACTAGTCAGTGGTACCGCCATTTTTCCGACAAGGTCAGCCTTGTAAAATCCGCCATTATCGGATTTTTTATTCTAGATTCTCAATGAGCGGTGGTACCGCCATCATCGACAGAATCGTTCCGGAACCGCAGCGAGCGCTCGCTGGACTACCGTCGTCGTAGTCATCAAAAGTATGTACCAGAAAATCGACCTCACCACACAATTCACACCCCATAGTGTCCTTTAGTGGTAATTTGAAGGAATACAGTGTTTAAGTTGATCCACTCTATGTTTTAGTTAATTTGAAAGCTTGAATGCCTTTTAGTCCACGTAGCCCCTCCAGTTTGCCCAGTAGTGCGCCGACTCTGAGACACAGTTGGAGGAGTCTCGGTGCTGCTGAGTTGTTGTCGGGCAGAACTTTAGTTTCGAACCGTATGTAAGTCTCGCAGCGCAAGCATTGCTGCGTCTATACGGACGACCGAAAAACAACGTGCTGAGGTGCACATGAGGAAGGATAACGAATGCAAATAGGAAAAGACTCTATGGGTATATCTTATGACCCAGTAAGAAATGAGTTCAAAACACTAAATTTGGGTGTAGTGTCGTGTTATGCATTCTTGGAAGGGTATTGGAAAGAAAGTAATCAAATGTCAGATTTATGAAAGGTCAAATGACAGGGATGAGCAGGAATGTTACAGATCTGTCATGCTTCGAAAATAGGATTTTCGGTCACCGCAGACTTCAGCGGAAGCGCTTTATCCGGCGCCTGTAGATCTGTTTAGAACTCGAGAAGTTTCCGCTCAATCCACTCAGCTCCGCACAAATGATAAACGTGGGCGATTCGTGATTCAATAGCTTTTATAAGTGGGATTAATACGTATTGACATTTCCAGATGTACTGAAACTACTTTCATAATTTTATGGACATTCCTATAAAGTCCTGTGGATATTCCATTGAAGTCCATATATAGCCCAGAAGATCCTCGGCAAGACCGGGATTCGAATCTGACCGCGCCCCCTATGATAAGCTTTTGTTCTTGTTGTTGTGATCCTGAAGGTACAGACTGGTTTGAAGAGATTCACCATCCAGAGAATACTTACAGAATTTTTCCCACGATCCTCAAAACCAGTGGATACCCGTTTGTTTGATTGAAACGTTGTTTTACCAGTATGATAAAAAATTCTTTCAATAGCTTAATTGTTGAGTAAACAAAGTGTTCAACCAAGTAACAAACCCTAGCAACGGTTGGCAAAACGTCAACACGCAACAGTGATGCCGTTTTATTTTATATTATTTGAGTCCTACTTGTCAAAGTGTGTCTAAAGGGACCATGCTGTGTTTCGGCACAATGTGCAGAGTTGATTACCCCTTGCATCGACAGGAAATTATGCACTGATTCTCAAGTGGAATAATACAAAAATGGAGTTCTGCGTCTACACCCTTAGCAGAGCAACCGTAACGGTCGTTGTCATTTGCGCGACTATTTTAACAGCGCACAGCGCTCTCATTTTAGTTTAGTCACTCTTCTCCACACCGGTCGCTGCTATCGCGGTTATCAATTTACTCGCCGTAGTCCGTACCGGTAGTGAGCATTTTGATAAGTCTACGAATAGCAACCTTTCTCCCGCGCTGCTATCCCGCTGCTAAATTTGGTAACGCGCTTCTCACCGAGAAGCCGACTGCTATTTTAGTTACTCGTATAGCAACCCCCGATACGGTAGCTGCGCTATGGTGAGGGCTGCTAAAATGAGTTTAGCAGCGTACCGTTACGGTTGCTCTCAGATGCTTCAAATGAACTGTTAAATAGTTTCATGTTGGCAGCTCAGACAAAAAATACCATCTTTCGTCGGACCTTGAATAGCATGCTGCGGTTTTCAGCTGAATTGATATGCTATTGACGGGAAGTACTGCGTTTACACCATTAGACATGATGTTGATCCTTCGATTCTGAATTGTTTGTATGTTCATCGCTTAAAATCGAAAAAAAAAAAAAACTCATACGCTATTCCAATGAGCCATCAAACTAAATGCGTTCCAAACATTCCACCACATTTTTTTTTAAGTCAAATGTTCCCAATTTTTAAGAGAAAAAAAAACCCTCCCTCTTCTGCAATTACGCGTAACAACAGCAAACAACATTTATTTTTAAGTAAGTCACAGTAAATCGGTACTCTAAACTCATAATCTTTTCAGTTGATTTATATTAAAAATTAAAAATTAATCAATTTTCAGCAAATTAAAAATTGTTAAAGTTATCAAATGAAATTAGGCTTTTCAAATTCAAATGAATAAAAAAAAATATTTATTAGGAATTGAGATGCAAAACTATGTAACTAAAAAAACTAAAGTTCACCATGAATAGCCAACAGTGCCTGAGCAGAATCTGAGCACCATTTCCCCGGTCAATCGTTCCATTCTGCAGACTGATTTTCGATTAGAATGAAACGTTTCTAATTTGGTTTCTACTGTACGCTTGTCACAGTTGATTTAGCATAGAATCTAGATACGGACTAGGATGAAGAAACCATACACTCACATATATACACACACACACACACACACTCACAATCGCAAAGATGTAAAATGAAGCCTTGTAATTATGTTTGTACAAAGAAACCGATCGCGATTACCCAGATGGAAGTATTTACGTTGATAGGGAAAAATAACTGACGAACAGTGAAAGAATTTTAATTTATAAAATGAGTCCTTTTTTAAGATAATTTATCTCGTTGAATCTACACTGACGAATAGGTAAATGTAGGTGTTGTACTGTAGTCTATAGATTAAGCCTTCCTGTAAAGTAATTTATATCGATGCAGTATAAGATGATCGGCGTTCCAGTTTGTACAAACGACACTCGTAATAAAATATTATTTAAAATTTTAACCATCGTCCCATCGTGACTCGCTTGGAATAGAAAGAAAATTTTCCTTGAGTTGTCACATCGGCACCTCCTCACGAGCACCCGTACATCTTCCAGATCCTCCAGATGTCATTCTCGCTCATCCAGAACCGCTGCCCGATGGAAACCGCGGCCACCTTCGGACTGATCGTCCTTTCCCCGTTTTTGCTGAAAGCCGTCGCACTGTAATGCATAATGCTGCCATAGTCATACTCCACTCCAAAGTCCGTTATAAAATCCGTTCCGTAGTTCTGGAAGTTTGCCTCTGCTCCCTCGCGAACATTCTGCCACTGGACCGCCACGTACTGGTCGCGATCGCTGGCACTGTGCATGTGGTAAAACCCGAGCGCGTGAATCAACTCGTGCAGTATCGTACCATGTCGGAAGCATCCCGACCCAGGACTCGCCGGTTCCAGGTTCAGCTGTTGCTCACCGGTGCGACGGCCGACGTAGGAAAAGCACCCGGAATCGCTTCCCGTTATCCGGACGTAGTCTTGCACGGTCGAACCAGGAGCACGCAGCACAAACCGAACACAGCTGATTCGCTCTATGTCCTTGATTGCATCGTCAATTGCGACCAGCTGGGCAGCGTCGAAATCCCTTTCAACAATTTCGTAGTGTACGATTCCATTTGGCCAGATAAACTGCGGCATCCGGACTCCGGTGCGTTTGCGGAGTGCGACTTCCTGTGCGTCGTTCAGAATGATGTCCCCTTCGAATTGACCGCTCAGTTCCTCTGCTAGCTCGCCGGGCGTCAAGTGGTGCAGTCGCTGAACTAAAATCATAAAAGACTTACATACCTTTTTTTCGTACAGCACAAAACCAAGAAATACCATTATCCACAGTATTTGGAACTGTCCGACCGTCGCCTCCATTAATGGTCGCTAGGCCAAGCAAGACTAGCGGGAGGAATATTTTCGACATCTTCAACGAATTATCATAGACTGGAAGGCAACACGATGGCTCCGGAAACATTTATATCGCTTAGAATTGAAGGTAGGTATTCCGCTAAAGTTATCTAATCAGGGATTAATGTGAATAGGTACATAGATTCGAAGAAGGTTGTACCGCTTTTGATTGGATAAGAGGTCATATCTTGTATTTGTACTCACTTTTCCAGGTAAGACGACGCCTGGAAAAGTTAGTACAAATACGACCTTTGCTTTAATTGATAATAGGTTTTGATAAGCTGTTGGCAACAACAACACAGCCCTGTTCGAAGATGTAAGGTATGTGTCCGCAATAATCCGGACACATCAAAACGTAAGAAAAACACAAATTTCGCATTATATTTCAATTGTAGTTGTTTATTTCAGATTAATGGGATATGATTTGAAAATCCATGAAGTCAAAACATAGTTATTCGGTATGTATGTATGTATGTATGTATGTAAGGTAGCCACCATCCCTTCAAAGATCTTGTCTTGTATTGCAGCTCCACTTAATAGCAAGATCAATTTGAGCTACCGATCTGAATTCACAATATCGCTGTACCCGTAAGCAGAGACACTTACACGAAATCCACGGGAATTTAAGAAACTCCTTCCAACGATACGATCAAACAAATCAAATAACACAATTCGCAATACTTATTAAGCTTCCTACAGGATGGTTTGTGAAGAAAGGTGCGTCAATCTCACTGAAACTGTTGAAGTAGAATTCACACCACCACATTCGAATCGGTAGGATAAAGAAAATGATAGTGTTTATTCCCTTCTAGACTTCGGTTGTCATACCACTCCATCGTCCAGTCCCAGGCAGGGAATCAAAATCTATGATTTAGATAAAGATAATGTTATTCTCATTTTGGTTACACTCATGATCAGTACAAACTCAAAAATCACAACGGAAAGGCCTGGAAACGATAATGCGATTATCATTTGTGTTACAGATCACGATCATATGAAATAGCGATAATCTCCGATCATGATCATCACCGACAATTCCCCATGTAAGACAAGAAAAATAATTTAAAAAAAAAACCTATAATGTGGGTATTTTCGAAACAGGGATAACGTAAAGAGATTGAAAATCGACGTCCACCGCCATTTTGAAATCCAAGATGGCGGACATCGATTGCAAAAAAACTGTCAAATACCCTGCAACAGGTTATTTTCAGAACAGGGATGACATGCAGATGTAGAATCCAAGATGATTGCCATTGGTTTAAGAAACAAACTGTACCCAAAATAGGGTATTTTTGAAACCGGAATGACGTGTAGATATTGACAATCGATGTCCACCATCATGTTGACTAGTTTTCTCTTAAGCAATTGGCCGCCATATTTAATTCCAAAATGGCGGTAGACATCGATTTTCGACATCTACACATCATTCCGGTTCCAAAAATACCCGTATTGTAGGGTCTTTGATAGTTTTTCTTAAATCAATAGCTGTCATATTTGATAGGAAAAGGGTGGCAGATATCGATTCTCGACATCTATATGTTATTCCGGTTCCAAAAATACTCATATTGTAGGGTATTTAACAGTTTTCATGAAATCAATGGCCGTCATCTTGGTTTTCGAAATGGCAGCGGACCTCAATTTCCAGCATTGTACATGTTCATCCCAGTTCTAAAAATACCCATATTGTAGAGTGTTATTTATTTTCGACATCTACATGTCATCCCAGCTCCAATACTATCCATATTGTAGGGTATTTGGCCTCCAGAACAACCAGAACGAAGGCAAAGTTACAAGATTTCGAGATGTGATTGTTATCATCATATCAGTGGATTATCGTTTTAGTTGCTGATCATGATGTGTAACACAAATGATAACCCATGATCTCAGATGTACACTGATCATGATTCCGTTTACTAGTGTTTATATCATCGGTAAGCATAGGAAGATAGGATTTTTTTGATTCCCTGGTCCCAGGTCAAATGATACCCTGATGCTCCCTCCCAACCCAGTATTTATTTATATAATGAAAATATATGTAATGGAGAAATTAAATATATCAGAACATTAAATATTAAATAATGAATGCTCCCTTCTATTAGCATTTTCTTAACCTCACGCACACATATGACGTGTTTGTTTGTATAAATTTAGCTGCTGCTTGCTCTATCCATTCCAATCGACAGAATTGTTCAAAACTTTACAACGCTCCAAACTACTCAGGTGAGTGTGATTATTGTTGGCAGTCCATTTTTCTTCGGCAACCTTTCCATTTGAACTGCGTGTTAATCAGCTGTTCTATTATCGGCAGCTCGAAATCAGCTGCATTTTGCAGTGCTTATATTTCATTTAAAGAAAAATCTTGCATAACAGGATTGCTCAGTTGTAAAAATTTAGTCAGATTGAAGCTGAAAGACTAAGGAATCGTTTGAATACATTCAGCTAAGTGTTTTGTTGGGAAGATACAGTGAAATTAACAGAGTTGGTTGGAAATGCTAACATGAAGCTTTAGTGTGATGATTTATTAGCTAGAGAATGATCTGTAGAAGAGGGTAGGTGGATAGTTCCGTTAGAGTACGGCAGTATGAAAATTGAATAGAAGTTGAAAATGAGCGAAGGGCCATTAAAGCGACAGTTTTCAAGATGACGCACATTTTTGCCTGTGGACTTGGAGACATACTTCAAGTCCCCGCGTACATCGTACGGGCTAGGCAAAAATGTGCGTCATCTTGAAAACTGTCGCTTTAATGGCCCTTCGCTCATTTTCAACTTCTATTCAATTTTCATACTGCCGTACTCTAACGGAACTATCCACCTACCCTCTTCTACAGATCATTCTCTAGCTAATAAATCATCACACTAAAGCTTCATGTTAGCATTTCCAACCAACTCTGAAAATCGTTAACTTCGCGTATGAAGTAACATAAAAAACACTTTGAAAGTGAAATTAACGTTGAAATTTTGGTTGCCGAGAACAGTCAATGGGTGCCGAAGCCGACCTTTGCCCTAGATAAAATAGTTGATATTCTGCAATGAAAATAATAATTATTTTACATATAATAAGATGCAGCTCTTTGTTTCCTCAGCTCACAATATCAAGTGGATTAACACTGAAATTTCAAGGTTATTTTAAGCAAATATATATATATATTTTTATCTCTAATTACTAATAATGTAAGGATGTAAATGTAAAGTGTGATGACATAACATGACTAACAATAAAATGGGATTGCGAGAAAAATAAAGGAAAGATCTCACCCGATATGTTGCAAAGGAATCCATGACATAACGATGATTTTGAAGAGCTCCAATAGATATGCTGCCGGTACTTCTTCAAACGGTGTTAAAAACACAGTGGGCTGGCAACTCTATATCAATCCTATACGTTTGACAGTAGGCAACATCACGGGCCTTATTTAAATATGGCCTGCCTGACGTAGTGGAAAGAGACGGAAAATCGTGTTATAAGCAGAAAGACAAGGGTAGATAATAGCATCAAAAACATGGCCGCCAGTCAAACAGCACTCTCGCCTTTCGGTTCTCACATAGTAGCGCAAAGCCCATCAACCACGAAATACACTCTAGCTGCTTCAACTAGAGGGATCTCAGCAGAGAAAAAAAGGGCTGCATCCACTTTCCATCACCAATCACTCGCGACGCCAGCTCCTCACCGTCCGAATCAATGAAACACGACGATGACAACATTCGTCCGGAAGGCGGAACGCCAGCACGCACAAACAAAGGGAAGACCAATTACACACACAGAACACTGCACGAGCTGAACTGCTAACGTTGAAAGCCAAACGCGAACTGTCAAAACATAATTCTAAATAGAGCTGGAATTAGGGCCTAACAGCTTTTGTAAACAATGACTTCTATCGATGATTTCTAGGAACTCAGGGCACGCCCACGCATACCAGCATAACCATCGGATAGGGAAAGTCTTTCCCTACTCGATGAAGATGTTGGTTTGCGTGGGCGAGTCTTAAATTTCTAGAAATCATTGATAGAAGTCATTGTTTACAAAAGCTGTTAGGCCCTAATTCCAGCTCTATCTAGAATTATTCGGTATTTGCATAAAATTTTCAAACTTTGCGCTTAACTCCATCCATTAGGGTTTGTACGACCGTGGTGGCCATCTTTGTCTAAATTTGTTGGAAGTGTTTGATATCTTTGATTCCTTGTTTCTTTCCAGAAAGCTTCCGCTTCATCAGAGTCCAATATCCCTCGATTGGACGTAACTCTGGACAATTTGGCGGATGTGCGATTTTTTGTACAATATAGAGATTGCTAAAGTATGATTGAGTCAGTGATTTGTTTTCATCGGGAAAATTTTCCGCTATGAACTTTTTTTCCCGATGAAAACATTTTGCATATACATATACGTGACGTAGTGTGCGTACGATAAACGTCAGCAATCTCTATTCACTTGATTTGCTTCGTACCAATCCATCACAGTTACACCAACAATCAATACGAAACTAACGATTTTAAATTGGCTCACTACTTGACTAGCCTATTGGCAAATAGACTTAAGAATTTCATAAGGCTCGACTTATGAACGACACATATGAATTTCATAAGCGCGACTTATGAAAGATTTTCGTCTAACATAAGGTCAACCGGTGAACACTTGTGTTTATTTCAGTTACCATGGAGACGTAATTTGTGATTATCCCCGGTCCCTTTCAAATTGTATCATTATTTATGAACGGTCCTTATATTTGAAATGACGTTTCACATTCATCTAGTGATGTCCGATTGTCATTCGAATAATCGTTTAATCGATTAACGAACCGAAAAGTAAACTATTTATAATCGGTTACATCATGCCGATATAAGCATTAACATCACCACAGGATCATCACCGATCGTTTCAAACATGTGCTGCACTCTCATTGATGGAAAAATGGCAGCACAGCGAACAAAAAATAATCGATTAGTTGTTAATCGAGTAATTAAAAAATGGGACATCTCTGATTTTGGTGTGATTGTTTTGATAAAAATGAGCGCAAAATTTCATC